TGCACGGACGCCACTGCTTACGACACTCAGCCATATCACTCTGTGTCACTAACCCCCGGTTTCCAATCATCTCGAAGTCATCACCTGTGACCGAGTCTCCTGGTTAGGGTTTTCATATCCTCATGAGAGGTCTTAGTTTGATCGCCCTTGGATTTCCTCCATCCACAAACTGCCTCGGCAAACATCGCTCGCCGTGGCAACCTATCTGGTGATATGAATAAAACACTCCGCAACCAACGTAATCTATGGAGATCGATCACTTGCTATCCAAAACTCTGACCCTAAAAAGAGCGTTGCTCGTCCGGCAGCCCCACCAGTGTTGCGTAGACAGCGGTTTTTGAAAATTCAATCTTTATCCTGTTTCATTGATGGCCAAGTTTCTACGCCGTAAACAGGACTGGCCGAACTGCCGCGGCATACACTCGACCCTTCACAGACAGCCGGATGTCGCGACGGCGCCAAAGATGTCGCAGGTTGGCAAATGTCAAACCAGTTTGTGGCATGCGAGCTGACGCTTCATTCGTGATGCATCCACCGGGTGAGATGTAGCTTCCCAAATAACAAAACTTATCCACTTGCTCTATTATTTCCCCAGCTAGAGTGAGGTTGGGTGCTGGACCAAAACTTTTGTGAAGATGAATGCTAACTGGTTCCACTGTAGCTAGAATAGGAACCCGCACATACCTAAACTATCCCGTTTTAGCTCTATCAAGGGGTCCAAAAGTGGCGCTTTGTAATCTCATAATGTGTTCTGTAAGACTGATGAATACTTTTCATTTCAAATGGAAAGGTAATTTCTACTTGAAGTGTAAATATCGTAATCAGGTTTCGTGGTCCCATACCGTTGCTTTTCAGCACGCTGCTTACATCACCACCACCACCACCATACGGGGAGGTAATTAAAAAAGAACTTCAGCAATCCCTGCTGAGATCATGATGGAAACCAGTGTGTAAGGTGGCTAGCAAGTACGCCAACAAAGAGCACTCAGTTTAACTGTGCATGCAGCTCATTGATTGTCACTAATCTAGCAGTGATTGGGTTTCTAGACCGCAGTCTAGAAAAAGAAAGATACCTAATACTTGTTGGAGCCTTGCAGACAGCTGTTGATTCAGTGAATGGATAATAATATGACGTGATCAATTGTGCGGAGTGAAGAGGCTTAGAATAATATCCATGACATACTGTGGTAACACGCATGGACGGTTGTCGTCGGAATCCAGTGGCGGATCGCGATGAACGATCGGAACATTGGGACGATGTCTCACTGAAATTGTCATCCGATTCAAACTGATGCCGACTACCGTGGAACTGGACGACGGAAATAAAATTGGGCGAGGGATTAGATGATAGACAGAGATATAAGTGTCATGGAACGATATCATGAAAAAATAGATGAGAAAGCGATGGACTTCGCAAAAAAGACAGATTTATCAAATGATGTACCGTCCACAATCGATCTCATCACATAACTGTGCTTGTTTGAGAGGTACCACATTGGTGGGCTCACACTTCGTAGGAGGCAAGTTGCGAAAAAAATGATATTGAGTCATTTCCTCCCAGTTTCTTTTCATTCGAAATAACTATTACTGTCGACGAGAATTTACCTATTATGCTGGACAAGCACAGTATAATATGAACTTATCAAATGTCGACTGGATGGTGTTACATTATAAGGGTCCAATAAGAAAACTAACATCTCATATACGATAAACATATCCACCGATTAATTGAAATTATTAAGACATAAAGGTGGCGTCAAAAATGAAGAACTATTTACCGGGAGAGCAAAATAGAGCAGACTAACATGGATTTACTTGTAATAAAATGAGACAATGATGATGACAGACATAGATACTGGCCCTGGAAATTAAAAGCCATGGCTCATTCCCTGTTATAGTTACGTGGGCGTAAAATGAGCATAGACAGACACACGCACAGTATTGAAAACTCACCGGATCGCCTAAGTCTCCGCAGTCACTCATAGAGCTAAGAGAAGCTGTGAATAGTAAGGGGGAGATCGGAGTGTACATGTGAGCTGGAATCGAGTACAAATTCACGTTAACATTGATTGATAAGAGTTGTAAGCGAGTTGTAAGCGCAAAAGGGCAGATGCAATTGATTTCGCGGGGAATAGAGCACTCCTTGTTATTCATTTCACTGTTAGAGAGAAAAGGTGCAACAGCAATGATGGATCTGCGGATGATGGGTAGCAAGAAAACATATCACAGTCACACTCGTGTATTGCAATATCTGGAGAATAAATGTCCAATCAATCCTAAGCCCCCAACCAGTACACCAACTTCACGCGCAATGCCTCAAACGAAATGGATTTTTCCAAAACTAACTAGTCTAACAACGCGGGTGCAACGCAAACTCCATCATCATGCACGGAAGAACCTCATAAACTGGATTGAATAGTCCTGACATGAAAGATGTGATTGAAAGGTGTGGAACTGTGAGGAGATACGGAAGCTAGGTGCGGAAAGTAACTTTGCAAGAGAGAGAAAGTGACTTGGACATATGTTCAAACGAACAATGGAAATACTGTCAATAACAGCGTTAAATTTCAATAATGATGATCCACATATGTCCCACGATTTCTTTCGTACTTAGCAGGTACACTTCAGGAAAACCGGAACCACACAACACCATCATATATATAT